GTCTTTAAGCACTGGACAACGATGTCTTTAAGCACTGGACAGCTATTCAAGGACGTTATGCACAGGGCTGCGAGGACATTATGCACTAGGACAGAATGCACCGAGGTCTTTATGAACTGAACCTGCAAAAACACAACACCGTGGAAGGACAGCGGAGTCGCCGGAGCTGTCCTTAAGGTAGTAGTGCCCGCCTACCGTACCGGAAAAACGTGGGCACTCTCCTCCCAGGATAAAACCGCTATCGTGTGTGGAGATTGTACGGACCAACCACACACCAACGAACAAGAACAACGTAGGAACGTTGGCGACCAAAAACTTTGAAGGGAATTGCCGGAAATTTGGCAAGAAAACCAAGAGCTCTCTCAAAAAATAAACAAGAAAGATTTTCTTTCTTTTCCTTTTTGTTTCTCACGTGAAGCACCACAAGAAAATCATGGAGTGAGCTTTGATTTTATAATTAAAGAGTTTAGGAAAAATGTAACTCCCACCATTAACCATTGGAATTAATCATGGCATTTGTGGTGTGTTAATGGTGACTAATTAGCCATTAACACGTCCGTTACGCTACGCTCTGTTTAAAATTTGTCCCGAATAATTGGAGATTAATGGCCAGTTAACTCCGTAAACATGGACTAATTTTAAACAATACGTAAAATTTAATAAAAGAAGATCGGTTCAGTAAAATTGCAAAAATTGCAATCCTCACCATATTCTTTTATTAACGGGTTAACTCTGAGAATCAATTTCTCATTCACCCTCTACCATTTTGGCGTAATATTTGTCAAAACATTTATCTCATTTAAGAGAAAACACGTCCATTAATTAACGGTTAAAACCGTTAGTGGACCTATTGACAAATATACCCTAGTTGGTCCTTTTAATGCCTATTAAAAAATGCCAAAAATTCCAACAATCCCCCACATGAATGAAAAATTGATTTCGGGTCGACAACATCCCACGGTTGAAAACCTGCAAAGAACATGTAAGTGTCTCCACTTTTGAACAAGTCCCTTGTAAAGTATACCTTCTTTACTGGCTGTTCAGTAGAACGCGATGTCTTTGAACTGTACTGCCCCTTGTGTAAACGATAGTATACAATACACAGGTTCCAACCAAACGCCGTTCTGTTCTCATGGTTGTGCCCATTTTGGTCGTGGGACACGCACCTGGTTCTGCGAGAGTGTTTAGAGGATTAAGCCCAAGATCCTCCGTTTGAAGCGACCACACTTCACTCTTACATAGGTGATTCTTTAAGAGTATCCGGATTACTCCCCTTAGACCACCGTGTCTATTGGTTAAGAATCATTAAAGCATATTTATATGCTAACCTCATCGTTTTCGGGAGTCACTGTCTTCAGCAGGAACAGAAGGGACTGACCGAAGGTTCTGGTACCGCCCCCACAGTGACCTCGCTTTATCCTACAAGTAGGTTGTGCCATTGAACCTGGGTACCAGCCATGTTAGGTTTTCCTTCATAGGACTGTCCTAGCACAAGGGCTTCAAACCCATTCCTGCCACCAACTTCTCATGCAAGTCATTTGTTAACCCTTTGGTTAGCGGATCCGCCAGATTATCTTTTGACTTCACATAGTCAATTGTGATAATCCCAGTTGTGAGAAGTTGTCTAATGGTTTTGTGTCTACGACGAATATGTCTAGACTTACCATTATACATATTACTCTTTGCATGTCCTATTGCTGATTGACAATCACAATAGATGCAAACTGGTGGGACCGGTTTATCCCATCTTGGAATGTCCTCTAGGAAGTGGCGTAGCCATTCAGCTTCCTCTCCACATTTGTCTAGAGCTATAAACTCAGACTCCATGGTGGACCTAGAAATCATTGTTTGCTTTGAGGATTTCCAAGATATTGCTGCACCCGCTAGCGTAAAGACATATCCACTTGTGGACTTTAAGTATTTACTATCAGATATCCAATTCGCATCCGAGTATCCTTCCAGTACCGGTGGATATCTCGAGTAGCATAATCCATAGTCACGTGTATACCGCAGGTATCTCATCACACGTACAATAGCCTTCCAGTGCTCATCACTCGGATTGCTGGTGTATTTACTCAGCTTACTTATGGCACAGGCTAAATCTGGTCGAGTGCAACTCATTAGATATATCAAACTTCCAATAACTCTCGCATACTCGATTTGAGAGTTACTGGAACCTCGGTTTTTAGCCANCTTGTCAAGGATTTTATCAATATAATGGGATTGGCTCAGTGCTAGACCCCCAGGTCTTCTCACAATTTTAATTCCAAGAATTACTTCAGCCAGACCCATATCTTTCATGTCAAATCGCGAGTTTAACATGTCTTTGGTAGACTTGACCATCTTGTCATCGCTACCAACTATGAGTATGTCGTCTACATATAGACACAACATGACATACCCTTGGGATGTGTTTTTTAGATAAACACACTTGTCCGATTCATTAATTTTGAACCCAGAGTTCATCATTACCTGGTCAAACTTCTCATGCCATACTTTTGGCGCCTGTTTAAGACCATATAATGACTTAACGAGTTTACATACTTTCCTTTCTTGACCAGGAACTGTAAACCCTTCTGGTTGTTCCATGTAGATCTCTTCTTCTAGATCTCCATTAAGGAAAGCTGTTTTCACATCCATTTGATGAACTTCTAAGTTCCGCAAGGAAGCTATTGCAAGTATCATCCTAATGGAATTTATCCTTGACATAGGGGCATATGTATCAAAATAATCAAAGCCCTCACGTTGATTGTAACCCTTAATTACATGTCTGGCTTTGTACTTATCAATGGAACCATCTGGTTTCATTTTCCTCCGAAAGATCCACTTAGAACCTAACGGTTTGCATCCGGGAGGTAGATTCACTAACTCCCAAGTGTGCTTCTGCATAATAGAATCAACTTCACTTTTAATTGCCTCTTTCCACTGAGGGCCTTCAGACGAAGTCACTGCTTCACGATATGTTCGTGGTTCATTTTCTAATAAACATGTTAGAATATCGGGTTCAGTATCTATCAGAAATGATAGAGTCCCCGATTCAAATTCCAACAAATAAGTTAGGAAATCATTACCAAAGGACTTCTTAGTCCGTGTCCTTTTACTTCGTCTTAGTTCAGTCCCAGTTTCGGTTTCATCAATTATACCGGTATTAGACTGATCCGAGGAACCATCGTTCAACATTTCATCATGTGAACGTTTGGAAGAACTTGATTCTTCCCTCGACTTTAATGGAAATATGTTTTCGAAGAATGTTGCATTCCTCGATTCCATTATCGTGTTCTTATGTATTTCTGGATTATCAGACCTATACACTAAGAATCGATATGCGCTACCACTGTAGCCAATAAAGATTCCATCAACGGTCTTTGGACCAATCTTTATTTTCTTTGGTGGTGGTGCTAAAACTTTTGCAAGGTACCCCCACACTTTCAGGTATTTATAGGAAGGTTTCCTATTATACCACAACTCGTAAGGAGTTTTATCGAGTTTCTTTCGGGGTATTTTATTTAACAAATAATTGCTAGATAAAATAGCCTCCCCCCACATATTTTGGGGTAGCCCCGAACTGAGCAACATCCATTCATCATTTCTTTGAGAGTGCGATTTTTACATTCCGCCACACCATTTGATTGGGGTGTGTATGGCGGAGTTACTTGATGCACAATCCCTTGTTGTGCACACAATTCGGCGAATGGAGCTTCGTACTCCCCACCCCTATCACTCCTAATCGCTTTAATTTTGCGATTGAGTTGATTTTCTACTTCATTCTTATACCGAATGAAAGTGTCCAACGCCTCATCTTTACTTTTTAGTAAATAAATATAGAAATACTTCGTGCTATCATCGACAAAAGTGATAACATATTTGTTACCACCTCTTGAAGGCGTTGATTTGAAATCACACAGATCCGTGTGAATTAAATCTAGTGGCTGAGTGGTTCGCTCAATTGTTTGAAACGAACTTCGCGTTGACTTTGCTTCGACACACGTCTCACATTTGTGGGACTGGTCGATGTCAAACTTAGAGATATATTCCATGTTAATTAATTTCCAAAGAGATGCATAATTCACATGTCCTAGTCTTCCATGCCACACATTGGAGGACTAACAAACATAGGCAACAGGAGTTTTATTAATTTTCTCAACAACAGTGAGTACATTAAGCTTAAAAAGCCCATCAGAAATATAACCTTTGCCTATGAATATTCCCTTTTTGCTCAAGATCAGCTTATCAGACTCGAACACCATGCGGAATCCATGTTTGTTCAATAGTGAGCCTGACACCAAGTTCTTTCGTTTGTCCGGCACATACAACACATCATTCAGCGTGCGCTCCTTGCCGAATGCCATCTTGAGCTTAACTTTGCCCACGCCTTGAACCTCGGATTGGGCGGAGTTGCCCATCCACACCTTGTCGCCAGAAGTCTCCTTAAGGTCAAAGAGCATGGCCCGATTAGAGCAGATATGACGAGTGGCTCCAGTGTCAACCCACCACTCTTTCGAGTTAGACTCGACCAGGTTGACCTCTGTCACGACAGCACAAAGGTCCATGGCATCTAGCTCCAAGCTGAGAGCTTCTTCCATCTTCTGCTTCTTCTTCTGAGGCTTCTTGCGGCACTCTAAAGAACGGTGGCCCATAATGCCACAGTTGAAGCATTTCCCCGTGAACTTGGGCTTCGCGACGCCTCCTTTAGGACCAATTTTTTTCTTGTCCTTATTTGGCTTTGGCCCTTTGGAAGAACCCTCTTTGGATGGATGCTCCACCACATTAGCCTTAGCAACAGCTACTTTCTTCTCGCGAGTGAGACCCTCTTCACGGATCCGGAGACGAACAAGCGAATGTTCTAAAGTCATTTCTTTCCGTTTGAGCTTGAGATAGCTCCAGAACTCATCCCAAGTCGGCGGGAGCACATGAATAATCGCCGCCACTTGGAATGCCTCACTGACTCCCATTCCCTCGTCAGTGCACTCATTAAAAATGAGAATCAATTCTTCAGCTTGACTGACCACGGGTTTGGAATCGACCATCTTAAAATCCAAGACCTTACCGAAAACGAATTTCTTCGTACCGGCGTCCTCGGCCTGGTATTTGTTGGACAGTGTAGACCATAACTCCTTTGCGGATGTAGCCCTGCTATAAACAGCATATAAGGCATCGCTCAAGCAATTCAGGATAAGGTTAAGGCACGTATAGTTATTCGCTATCCATGCCTCTTTAGCCTGAACTGTTGGCTCGTCCGCGTTCTCCCCCCCAACATGGGGATCCTCTCTCAAATACCTCGCAAGGTTGAGGGTGGTCAGCCAAAATAACATCCTTTGCTGCCATATTTTAAAGCCAACACCTGTGAACTTTTCCGGTTCTTTGACAGAGTTCGTAGGCAGCATGACAGTAGGATGTCCGACCGGTGCGGATGTGAAGACACCCGTGTTCGGTCCAAGTGAGGGAATGACCGGTATGGCCGAAGCCATATTCGGTCTGAGTGGGGTGACCATTGCGGCCGTAGCCGCGGTTGGTCCAATAACCGAGGTGACCGGAGCGGACCCCATAGTCACGCTCGATCCAACGAAGGTGGTGATCGGAGTGGGCCCCATGGCCGCACTCGATCCAAAAGGAATGTTGATCGGAGTGGTCTGCCCTGCAGAGCCACCCAATCCAGCCGAAACGTTCACAACCGGAGTCTCAGAACTACTCCCGTTTCCGGTGTGAGCGTCAAAACCGAATCCGTCCATACCCGCCATTGCGCACGAATATGAATACTACTTTAAGATTGTTACAATTCTCGTACGGATTACAACGGACGGGGAAGATGAACGGCCCCGGAAATAAAAAATATAATTCTGAATTTATAATTTATTCAGAATATTACAAAATAAACAAAGTTGAAAATAAATTTTTATATCTTCAAACAGCCTTATTGTACGAGGACATTAAGGACAGGACAGCGAGGACGTTAAGCACTGGACAGCGAGGTCTTTAAGCACTGGACAACGAGGTCTTTAAGCACTGGACAACGATTCAAGGACATTATGCACAGGGCTGCGAGGACATTATGCACTAGGACAAAATGCAACGAGGTCTTTATGAACTGAACCTGCAAAAACACAACACCGTGGAAGGACAGCGGAGTCGTCAGAGCTGTCCTTAAGGTAGTAGTGCCCGCCTACCGTACCGGAAAAACGTGGGCACTCTCCTCCCAGGATAAAACCGCTATCGTGTGTGGAGATTGTACGGACCAACCACACACCAACGAACAAGAACAATGTAGGAACGTTGGCGACCAAAAACTTTGAAGGGAATTGCCGGAAACCAAGAGCTCTCTCAAAAAATAAACAAGAAAGATTTTCTTTCTTTTCCTTTTTGTTTCTCACGTGAAGCACCACAAGAAAATCATGGAGTGAGCTTTGATTTTATAATTAAGGAGTTTAGGAAAAATGTAACCCCCACCATTAACCATTGGAATTAATCATGGCATTTGTGGTGTGTTAATGGTGATTAATTAGCCATTAACACGTCCGTTACGCTACGCTCCGTTTAAAATTTGTCCCGAATAATTGGAGATTAATGGCCAGTTAACTCCGTAAAGATGGACTAATTTTAAACAATACGTAAAATTTAATAAAAGAAGATTGGTTCAGTAAAATTGCAAAAATTGCAATCCTCACCATATTCTTTTATTAACGTGTTAACTCTGAGAATCAATTTCTCATTCACCCTCTACCATTTTAGCGTAATATTTGTCAAAACATTTATCTCATTTAAGAGAAAACACGTCCATTAATTAACGGTTAAAACCGTTAGTGGACCTATTGACAAATATACCCTAGTTGGTCCATTTAATGCCTATTAAAAAATGCCAAAAATTCCAACATCCCCTTCGTGCTGCGGCGATTGATGTTCCGTGATGGCGGTGACCACAAATAAATCGATCAATGGTGGTTCATCAACGATGGCAATTGCTGGTGAGGCTGGGTGACGGCAGCGACAGATCCTGTCGGCGACCTCTCCCAGGTCTAGAGGCTCATGATCTTGCTGAATTCCAGCGTTAAAAATGGCAGCAACGAGAAGGGGGGAGTGACCATCTTTTCCAGCGAAAGAACAGGGAGTGCGGCGAGGGCTATTCTCTACTCCTGCGAACAACCTTCATATATGATGTTTCTCCAGCGAGCAACCTTCAGCGACCCGTACGACGAGGACTAGTGACAGCAACTCTGACGAACTAGGGTCAACAACTGGTGACCTGTGGCGGTGTTGGCTGTGACGTCGGGAAGCGACAATTAACACGGACATCACCAATTGACCCTGGACTGCGTTGTTGACAGTCCTGACGAGTTCGGACAGAGGTACCGCAGTTGGGCAGTCATGGTAGTGTTTGGGCAGCGGGGGTTGAACCTCGTTTCAACATCATCATTCGAATGACAAGCTCTTTAATCGAATTGAACAAATCGAGGTGAGTACGTGGACTTCTAACACTAGAATATGCATCTAGTAAATATGGAAATTGTTGGAAATTCCACTCATAATTGTTATCGTGGTTGATCTGTGTGATTTATCTATATGATTGTTGATCGTGATTTTGGAGTTAATTGAAGAATTAATGTGCTTGATCGTGTTTAAAATGTTAATAGGGACCTATTGGTGTTCGTTATCATGAGATCGTTGTTGGTTGATGCTGAAAAATGAAACAGGTGTAAATATGGAAATTGTTGTGTCACACGGTAGGCGGTACCATCAGGACGGTACCGTGCTACCGTCACACTCTGTTGGATGCTTTCGCCTCTGCCGGTAGCTGCAATCGTACGGTACCTTGGTACCAGACGGACGGTAGGCCCTACCGCCTGGTCGGTAGTCACCTACCATGGCAATCCTACCAGAAGGGCTCATTTGGTTCGAACGGTACCCCTGGTACCGTAGAACCGGTACCCAGGTACCGTGACAGGTACCGCCCGGTACCTGATGCCGGGTCTGTCGATCTGTGTTTTCGTCAAGGATTGATTCTGAGACTGCATGTGAGCATGACGGTAATCGGTGAGAAGTGATTCTTTTGATAGGCCACTGAGTGTGTTGTTTTGTTTATGGAAATTTTTATGTGTTTGTTATCACTTGAGAACTCTGTTGAAAATTTGCCACCTAGTATACCTAGGCGGATCTGAACTGAATTGGATAATTTAATTACCAATACGACTGTTGTTAGGTTCGACCCTTGTGGAGCATGTTTGCATATCCAGTGGTCCAAGGTTGAAAACGTACGTACGGGAGTCAATTTTCTACCTAAGGGATTTCTTGGTAGAGACTCCAACCCGCCCATTGAGGATTCTCTTTGGGTTTGTCCGAGCATCGACCTCGAGGGATCCGCTCGAGTGTCCGTAACCCTAGTCTGTTGAATTTAGCCTTAGTGTTGTAGGGACATAGATAGCCCTTTGGGAATAAATGAATTGGAACTGTTTGTTTCTTGTATCTGAAAATAAATGTTGATTATGCATGTTATGTCTTGTATGTCGTATGATGGTTGTCAAGCATGTTGTGTGCATGATATCATGTGATAATTGTGAATTAGTGGATTCGCCTATGTATAGGTTCGAACTGTTAGATATTTCTCACTCAGCTCCATTGCTGAGCGTGTAGCCCGTTATTCCCTTTGTTACATGTAGGTGGTTGTGGAAGATTGGTTCTTGAATCCATCCCGGAGAGTAGCATGATGGAGGAGATGTACGGATGCAGGAGTTTAATAAAGTTGATGTTTGATTAAATTATAAAGCTTCCGCACTGTTGTATAAACTCCGATAAATATTTAAATTATTTTGAATTGTTTGAGTTTAAATTAAATGTTTTTAATTTATTGGAAAATATTATATGTTGATACCAATTTAGTAGCAACCTGGTTCGCTAACCTGTTGGTTCGGGTTACACGGGTTGGGGTGTTACATTTTGGTATCAGAGAGCATGGTTTTAAAATTGTCTTTGGACCATTAAAAAGTTCTATTTTGGGATTGAGTAAGTGGAAATAGTACTACTTTGACAATAATAACAATGACAAAAGTTATTTCCAAGTACTACATCTGCATCCTCCACTTCATCTCTACCTCTCAGGAAGGTAATAAATTATTATTGTTTCGCCTATATGTTTGTATGGAGCTGATTGCTCAAGTTGCTTGAACTGAATTGATTGCTTGAATAGTTGTGTTGAGCTGATTGCTCAAATTTTTGTAATGAGCTGATTGCTTGAATATCTTGCTAAGTTTACTGTTGGAATGTATGTGTTGAGTTGCGAATTGTTGACTATTGTGCATACTCAAATACTAAAGTCTAAGATAAAATTCACATCCCGTAGATGGAACCTACTTACTTTAAGGTGAACGTTAGCATAAACTCTGACAACGAGATGCTAAGTCGTAAAAGAAAAGAGTAAAAATGTACGTAGTAAAATATCTTAGTCTGATACTCGATTATCTCGTTTAGTCACTGGAATGGATAACCAAATTCCGAAGGGGCTGCAGACCTAGATGGATAAGGGAGTCTCATTTTGTATGAAACGGGAATGACCATATAAAGGACAAGGAGAACTTGTTTGATTAATGACTTGTGGTGATGTTAGTAGAACGCTCCACTTACATCACTAATACTTGTGGTGATGTTAATAAAGGACAAGTATTAGTGACGCCGATAGTCCTTGTGGTGATGTTAGTAGAACGCTCCACTTACTCTCGTTAGTATGATCAAGAATTGTTGAAAAAATAACTTTAATGAACCAAGAACAAATTAGTGTAATCCCGACTATGCCGTTTGAAGATTTTAGAATATGACTCCAGAAGGGAGAACCTACTCCGAGATCGATGAATGCACTTAATGTCGAATACATTACTATTTATGTCGTGTCACAAGTTAAAAGCCACCCGGTACTTGGGGACAAACCTCTGAATGCGCGCTAAGAACGTGAAATTATGATATCCGTACGTACCGCTTGGAAGGAGTAAAACACGATAATGTTGAACACCGAACTACATCGAGTGCGGTGAGCATGCATGACCCACTGAGGGTGCGAAGCTGAATAAAACATAAATATGATGAATGTGTGCGACGCAACATTAGGTAAGACACGAGACCTGAAAGATTAAACTTGCATCACGGCGTGACTTAGACGCGAAGAATCAATGAGAAGAATCTTGTTATTAAAAATATATGAACTACCTCAGCTAAGTAGGGCGTACGACACACTCCCAGGGACATGGCGACTAAGGCACGTCGTACACCTGACGAGACATATTAAAAAATGCTCTATAAGGGTCAATACAAAATGTCATATTGAAAACATTAATATTCTATTTTAGTACATTCTCTCTTTTTTACTTCTATTTTGAGTGATATCATTTTAAAAAATTACTAATTTTTTTGAAATAAAAAATACAGAGTAAAAAGTTAAACTAATTAAAGATAAAATCTAAAGAAGTGAAAGTTAGCAGGGTAGAGGGGATGAAAAAACAGAGGGAAGATAAAAGTTTTGACAAAAGAAGGAGAGGGAAAATATTAGGTTAAAAATTTTAAGTCCACACAATTAAAAAAAATAATTGAGAGAATACATAATATTTTGTTTAAATGAATTGAAATCTAACATTTTTAAAAATTAAAAAAAATTAGTTTAAAATTTTGAAATGAAAAAAGTATAGAAAAAAAATTCAAACTAGATCAGTTTTTTTTAAAAATACTATTTTTTTTAAAAAATGATGCCTAAGAATTTAAACAAAAATTGAGGAACCTAGTTTTTTTTTTTGAAAATTTGGCCAAAATATATGTATCCCTTCTTCTCCCGCCTCTAATTTCACAT